ATTCCGACGTAGCAGCGTCAAGTGGAGTGTCAGAAACTCGCACGCTGTTCTATCAATAGCGGTAGGTTTAGTAGAATAACACTAGTGGTGACTCATTCCACGCTTCCTGACGCAGTCCCGTCAAATGTCGTGAACCTATTACTCTTCCGCAATTTACTATCGCTTTCAGAGAATCGCAAGGAACCAGTGCCTTCTTCAACTGCTTGAGTGATCCATAAGATCCTTTGAATCAGCTGTAAAATCTAGCAGCTGCTGTGTCTAAATTGAGTGCATTTTCCCCAATTCGTTTTTTGGGTTATTGCACGACATTTGATGTGACGCTCTGATCGCTGCTGTACACAACATAAATAGGTGAACTATATTTATACAATATTTAAATGCCATCGCTTCAATGTACAGACATCATAGTTTTTTGTTCGTTACGCTTCTTCTTACTTCCCAGCGTAAGAGCCACCGCCACCGCCGCCAGAAGCGTAACCTCCGCCGCCACCACCAGAAGCGTAGCCGCCACCGCCACCGCCAGAAGCGTAGCCACCGCCACCGCTAGAAGCGTACATTGGTGGTGGTGGAGGTGGTGGAGGAGCAGGGTATCCTCCGCCGCCACCGCCTCCGCATGATGGAGCAGGTGCAGGACACGGTGGTGGACACGGTGGAGGACATGGAGGTGGACATGGAGGCGGACATGGAGGCGGAGCAGGTGCGGGACTGAAAATTGCAGATGATAGTTCGAACAGTAGAAAAAAGTGGAGAAATCATTTCTGGAGAAGATGCCTCCAGATAACTTTACTTACCAGCCGCAGCTGCTACCGCCTCCCATGAGTCCAAAGCCGAAAGCGTCAGATGCTGCAAAGACAGCAAACGCGACAATCGCGTACTTGAACATCCTGAAAATAAGAAAATGACTTTTCTTAAGGCAAAAAGCTCATTCTAGAATAAGAAGCAATCCGAAAGCGAATGAAGGTGTCATGTTCTCGGTCCCCTTATATATACGAAACCTATGCAGTCAGTCTACCCCCGTGCCCCGTAATCGGTACTCCAGCACATTCTGCAACATCGTCTACGCCGACGCACGCTGCACCACAGTTAATCCAGTTTTCCACGAATTGTTTTCTTGAATTTTTTACAGCCGCATCACGCATTATCCACTGTCATCCAATAGATGGCAAAACAGGATCTCCCTTACAGCCCTCACCGACATTTACTTAGCCAAACTGCCCCCTAGAAGCAGTAGGATCGAAAATCGACACAAAGCTGATAATCCTTCGCAGCAAATATCATCCGTTGTCCATCGTTAACCGGTAGCTAACAAACTTCATCAAAGAGCCAGAATAGTCTGTAAACCCCTTCTCACAGCAGCATCTGAAGTTCAGTTTTATTAAAACACTGCAAGAATACACCCTTCGTGAGTAAGGAAGCGTCACATTCGAAAAGTATTCAACTGCTTTATTCAAGTAGCAGACTAGTCTTGGATGTCGACCTTCCTCCCCTCCTTGCTCTTGTCGGCACTTTCTGGGGGAAGACTGGAAAATTTCTCGGAAACCTGGGAGGATGTGGGAAGTTAGACACCTACAGTACGTAGTTTGGAAAAATATGATGGTACTTGATTAAATTTGGGGGGGGGCGATATCTCACACCGCCATTTCTCCCATCCCGATGCCTTATAGTGGACTCTCCGTGCTGAACAATTCCATCAGCATAAAATCCTGGAAAGCAGCCCACGCGCTGCTGCTGCGCCGCAAAACTATCTTTTTTATTTATTCATAGATCTTTTTTTGAAGAAAAAAAATATGAATAAATGGAATGGGCAGAAGTACATCTTTGAGAAAAGAGTACGTTCTGTCCTCTGAACCGAAATATCAAGCAAATTTGGCACTACCACCCTTCAGGAAACGGCTTAAGGGTTTTTTTTCCTGCGAAATTTGGATCACAAACGGTGATGAAGACGTCTGTCTGAGAGTAAAGGGGTAAGGTGAACTCTTTTCCAAGAAGTTTCCCTATCAAGAAAGAAAAAATAGCTCAGTATATAAGAGCGCCATGTCCATGTCGCATCAATCTGTTCGTTCGATCCCAGACAAGGCAAAACTATGCCTTGCAAAAAATTGCAAAAACGGTCCCGGTGCTAGCGTCAGACTCAGGTTGACAGTCCAGCTGATGAAGAGCATAGTTACGATAGGATGACTGAAAGTAGCAATAGAAACAGTAAGAGTGCTAGGACTTCACTATGAACTGA